GTAAATATCGCTGACACATCAAAATTCGCGAGAGCATAATTTTGTCAATTTTCCATCAAATTTCGTACTTTTTGTTTTATTACCTTCAGAAAAAGATTCTTTACCATTTCATAAGAAAAAAAACATTTTTTTTTTTTTTTTTGGGACACTGGGGCCCACTTCAGATTTTGGTTTGGGACCCTAAAGGGGGTTTAAAAAACACTAAGCTGAAGTAAATAACCCCTTTTAGCACTAAAAAAATTCTCCTGTATAAAAAAAAAAAAAAATCCCACACCAAAAATTAAATAAAAAATGATTTTTTGTAAAAAATTTAAAAAATCAAACCCTAACACCCAAGAAACAATTCAAATGACTTACCAATAGAACAGGGGCCCCTCAGGAACAAATTTCTTTGCACCACTCATATAGTCGCGCACCTTTTTGGACATACCAATCTTCTGGGCCCCAAACCCACACCCCGCACTTTGTTTGTCCCTTGGGAATCTCCCTTGTAAAAAAAACACCCTGAGTACCAAAAATTTAAACTTTCATAATAAAAAATATGGGCAAATCAGGGGACCCCCGCAAACTTACCTCCAAAGGGACCAATTATGAAGTGTTTTTATGTAAGTTCGTTTGTAGTTTTTTTTGGGGTCTGAAATGGCTAAACTTCAAAAATTTTTCTTATGGGAAAAAATTGGGGTTCGTCGGCCCCTAAATACACTGGAGGTAAAATATTTTTTAACCGGGGGTCCCACTGTAATGGTTTCATTAAAAATTTATGTCTTAAAAAGGGCGATTCCTCTTGTCAATAAATTTCCTTTATAAATATACACTGTATTAGGACCTGTTTATATCCTTTTTTTACTTTTAAAATAATCTAAATGCAAAAAATTTGAAAAAAAAAAAAAAAAAAAAAAAAAAAAAAAAAAAAAAAAAAAAATCCCAAATTTTAACTCTAAAATTAAATAATGCTTGTTGATGAATTTTAATTAAAAAGAAAATAAAGAATAAAACAGAGGAAAAAGGAGTGCACCTGTGTGCATCGTGTGGGGTGTGTTGTGTTGTGTGTGTTGTGTGTGTGTGTGTGTGTTGGGGGTGGGTGTGGGGTTTTGGTGTGTGGTGTGTGTGTACATACTCGCCAATTGTGGGTTTTAGGGGGGGGATCACCCCCTGGCCCCCCCCTCTTCACTGATCGCTACTAACCCCTCCCTCCTGCTTCCTGGCTTTGTATACCTCTTTTAAAATATGTAGGTTCCCCGCCTCCACTACTTCACTTGCTAGCTATTTCCCCTTCCTGACGACTTAGACTGAAGAAACTTCCTAACGTCCGTGACTCGTCTGAGTCTTCAGCTTCCAGTTGTGACCCCTTGTTTCTGTGTCCCCTCTCTGGAACATACTATATCTGTCCACCTTGTCTATTCCCCGCAGTATCTTGTATGTCGTTATCAGTCTCCCCTGACCCTTTTGTCATCCAGTGTAGTCCTGTGTGTGTGTGTGTGTGTGTGTGTGTGTGTGTGTGTGTGTGTGTCACAGTATATATTTATATATACAGTATGGGATAGAGAAGAGTGAGGGGAAAGAGGGGAGGAGGTAGAAAAAGGAAAAGTGTAGGGAAAATAAGGAGAATCAGGGGCTCGGAATGGGTGGTTGTAGATGAGGTAGACTAGAAAAGAGTATGGAAGACTTAATTGGCTATGTCCAAATTACCTTGAATGTTTATATAAAGAATCTACTACATAATTTATGAAAAGCTGTTATTTTTTTTTTTTTTTTATCACACCGGCCGATTCCCACCAAGGCAGGGTGGCCCGAAAAAGAAAAACTTTCACCATCATTCACTCCATCACTGTCTTGCCAGAAGGGTGCTTTACACTACAGTTTTTAAACTGCAACATTAACACCCCTCCTTCAGAGTGCAGGCACTGTACTTCCCATCTCCAGGACTCAAGTCCGGCCTGCCGGTTTCCCTGAATCCCTTCATAAATGTTACTTTGCTCACACTCCAACAGCACGTCAAGTATTAAAAACCATTTGTCTCCATTCACTCCTATCAAACACGCTCAAGCAAGCCTGCTGGAAGTCCAAGCCCCTCGCACACAAAACCTCCTTTACCCCTCCCTCCAACCCTTCTAGGCCGACCCCTACCCGCCTTCCTTCCACTACAGACTGATACACTTCTTGAAGTCATTCTGTTTTTGCTCCATTTCTCTCTACATGTCCGAACCACCTCAACAACCCTTCCTCAGCCCTCTGGACAACAGTTTTGGTAATCCCGCACCTCCTCCTAACTTCCAAACTACGAATTCTCTGCATTATATTCACACCACACATTGCCCCTCAGACATGACATCTCCACTGCCTCCAGCCTTCTCCTCGCTGCAACATTCATCACCCACGCTTCACACCCATATAAAGCGTTGGTAAAACTATACTCTCATACATTCCCCTCTTTTCCTCCAAGGACAAAGTTCTTTGTCTCCACAGACTCTAAGTGCACCACTCACTCTTTTTCCCTCATCAATTCTATTGATTCACCTCATCTTCATAGACCCAAATCCGCTGACAGTCCACTCCCAAATATCTGAATACGTTCACCTCCCCCATACTCTCTCCCTCCAATCTGATATTCAATCTTTCATCACCTAATCTTTTTGTTATCCTCATAACCTTACTCTTTCCTGTATTCACCTTTAATTTTCTTTTTGCACACCCCACCAAATTCATCCACCAATCTCTGCAACTTCTCTTCAGAATCTCCCAAAGCACAGTGTCACAGCAAAGAGCAGCTGTGACAACTCCCACTTTGTGTGTGATTCTTTATCTTTTAACTCCACGCCTCTTGCCAAGAAACCCCCGCATTTACTTCTCTTACAACCCCATCTATAAATAAAATTAAACAACCACGGTGACATCACACATCCTTGTCTAAGGCCAACTTTTACTGGAAAAATTTCCCTCTTTCCTACATACTCAACTTGAGCCTCACTATCCTCGTAAAAACTCTTCACTGCTTTCAGTAACCTACCTCCTACAACCATACACTGCAACATCTGCCACATTGCCCCCTATCCACCCTGTCATAACGCCTTTTCCAAAACCATAAATGCCACAAAGACCTCTTTAGCCTTATCTAAATACTGTTCACTTATATGTTTCACTGTAAACACCCGGTCCACACACCCCCACCTTTCCTAAAGCCTCCTTTCATCTGCTATCCTATCTCCGTCTTACTCTTAATTTTTTCAATTTTAACTCTACCATACACTTTACCAGGTACACTCAACAGACTTATCCCCCTTAATTTTTGCACTCTCTTTTATCCCCTTTCCTTTATACAAAGGAACTATGCATGCTCTCTGCCAATCCCTAGGTACCTTACCCTCTTCCATACATTTTTAAACATTGCACCAACCCCACTCCAAAACTATATCCCCACCTGCTTTTAACATTTCAAACTTTATCCCATCAATCCCGGCTGCCTTACCCCCTTTCATTTTACCTACTGCCTCACAACTTCCCCCACACTCACAACTGGCTCTTCCTCACTCCTACAAGATGTTATTCCTCCTTGCCTATACACGAAATCACAGCTTCCCTATCTTCATCAACATTTAACAATTCCTCAAAATATTCCTTCCATCTTCCAATACCTCTAACTCTCCATTTAATAACTCTCCTCTCCTATTTTTAACTGACAAATCCATTTGTTCTAGCTTTCTTAACTGTTAATCTCACTCCAAAACTTTTTCTTATTTTCAACAAAATTTGTTGATAACATCTCACCCACTCTCACATTTGCTCTCTTTTTACATTCTTCACCACTCTCTTAACCTCTCTCTTTTTCCCCAATATACTCTTCCCTCCTTGCACCCACTTCTACTTTGTAAAAATTCTCATATGCTAATTTTTTTTCTCCTTACTACTCTCTTTACATCATCTTTCCACCAATCGCTCCTCTTCCCTCCTGCACCCACTTTCCTGTAACCAAAAACTTCTGCTGAACACTCTAACACTACATTTTTTTAAACCTACCCCATACCTCTTCGACCCCATTGCCTATGCTCTCATTACCCATCTATCCTCCAATAGCTGTTTATATCTTACCCTAACCGCCTCCTCTTTAGTTTAAAAACCCTTCACCTCTCTTTTCCCCTGATGCTTCTATTCTCCTTGTATCCCATCTACCTTTTACTCTCAGTGTAGCTACAACTAGAAAGTGATCTGATATATCTGTGGCCCCTCTATAAACATGTACATCCTGAAGTCTTACTCAACAGTCTTTTATCTACCAATACATAATCCAACAAACTACGGGTCATTTCGCCCTACATCATATCGTGTATACTTATTTTTTCCTCTTTTTCTTAAAATATGTATTACCTATAACTAACCCCTTTCTATAACAAAGTTCAATCAAAGGGCTCCCATTATCATTTACACCTAGGCACCCCAAACTTACCTACCACACCCTCTCTAAAAGTTTCTCCCTACTTAGCATTCAAGTCCCCTACCACAATTACTCTCTCACGGGTTCAAAGGCTCCTATACATTCACTTAACATCCCCAAAACCCTCTCTCTCTCCTCTGCATTCCTCTCTTCTCCAGGTGCATACACGCTTATTATGACCCACTTTCGCACCCAAACCCTTTACTTTAATCCACATAATTCTTGAATTTACACATCATTTTCCCCTTTTCTCCTTCCATAACTGATCATTTAACATTACTTGCTACCCCTTCCTTTGCTCTAACTCTCTCAGATACTCCAGATTTAATCCCATTTATTTCCCCCCACTGAAACTCCCTACCCCCTTCAGCTTTGTTTCGCTTAGGGCCAGGACAAACCCAACTTCTTTTCATTCATAACATCAGCAATCATCTGTTTCTTGTCATCCGCACTACATCCACGCACATTTAAGCAACCCAGTTTTATAAAGTTTTTCTTCTTCTCTTTTTTAGTAATTGTATACAGGAGAAGGGGTTACTAGCCCATTGCTCCCGGCATTTTAGTCGCCTCATACGACACGCATGGCTTACGGAGGAAAGATTGTTATATCAGCATTAAATACAGAGGACCTGCAACACCCACCTTGAACAAGAACGTGCCATAATTCGACGCACCGGAGGCTGACACCATACAGATAACAATGGTCACGGGAGAAATAATGCTGACTTCCATCTGTGCCTTGCAGACGGCCAACGTTCGAGTGGAGTTCAATAATAGTACCTCTCAAATGATTTTCTTTCATTTCCTCTTCCCAAATCCTATTGCCATTTTGCTTGTAAGGTAATTCAATGGAATCATTGGTTTTGTTATCCACCAAGCTTTGAGCTACATGGGACTCATATGGGTTTTGGTTTCCTGACTGACCATTTATGTTCAAAGCCTGAAGTTTTCTGTCTTTGGACACAGCTCCTGGATGTGAAGAATTCATGTCATTTTTCAACAAGCATGACTTGTCAATATGGGTTACATGAACACTACTTAAATCAATTTTGGCCCATTCCTGTGTTCCTGGTGGAGGGATGTGCGATGGTTTACTACCTATCCACCCACAAGTTGCAGCCAAACTAATGGTATATTCACAGACATTATGGTGAGGCACTGGTATGACATAGAAATTACATGGCCGAGACTCAAGAGCTGAAATTTTTTTTTTTTTTGTGACAGGTTTCAAATCAACAAACATATTTTGACGAGAGAATTCAATATAAACTTCTCCCCCAAGCTGGATGCTATGCCACTGCGCAATTCCACCACCTTTACATCCTTGAATAATCCGCCCATTTATGTGTTTACCACAGTATTTATGGCCACTCTCTTTGTCATTTTCTACTTTGTCTTGCATTTCCTCACTTCCAGACTCTTCTTCTAAAATCTGCATGACTGTGAATTCAAAATATTCTGGAAGCATTTCTTTTTTCACCTTTTCAACCTGGCCAGCTTGCAGGACATATTTCAATTCTAGATTAGAAGGATTAAAAAGTGAGTATGGTCCTGGTATTATCTTATGAGGTTTCTTGCCCATCCATACTACACTAGCAATACAACTGACTGAGTACCCACACACACTCCTCTGACTTTCATGGGGTGTCCCAATATACAAAGTACACTGCAACAAACGGTCTACTGAGCATAAAGATCTACAGGGGTCAAATGCTTGACCATCAATCCAAAACATAGTGCGGTGAAACAGAATGTATTTGTGCTCCTCAGCTTCTTCATAGGTACATTCAATAATGCCAAATTTATTTTTTGTGAAGACTATCCAGCCACACATGATTTTGCCCAATGAAAGTGCATCTGTTCCTTCAACTGTCACATTTCCCTTTATTATTGCTCTCTGAATATCAATAGGCAAAATGTCAAATGCTAAATCTTTAGGTTTACTTGATGTCAATTGCAAAATTTCTTTCCTTATCTTATGCTGGTCTGTATACTGCCAAACTGCCAAGGCACAATATTTAACTGTTTCACCAAGAAATTCTTTTGGTGCTATAGAATATGCAAGCACTGACCACATGGATGTTGTAATAGTATTAGAGCTCTGTAGATCACTACCACGGTGCAATCTGACTCCATCAACAAAAAGTGACTTGTTCCAAAATGCTACTTTCGCACATCCATGAGGAGTTTTGCATGTAATCAACCCAACAGACTCTGAGAGGCTAGTTACACTTCCCTGGAAGTAAGCGAACACAACCTTAGGAAAGTGTGTCTCTTCAGCATTGATAGATTCCTTGAGTGATATCAGTACTGGCTTTTCTGTTTCCAATTTCTTCAAGTCAGCTGGCTCTTGTCCGATCCAAACACACACAGCCTCACAGACAACTTGACAATTAAATACTATTCTTGGTTCCTTCAGAGGCACCACCCATGCTTTTACAGACACCTCTGTGTCTGCAAAAAATTCTGCAAGAGATTTAAATTGTTTATCAAACTTCTCACCATCAATATAAAAGTTTTTGCTATGAAAAGCTACAATGCTGTTACAACAAATCATGAGCCCCTGATGACAATTTGTCACTAATACAGATCCTGCTATAACACCTTCAACAGTATGAAGTTCAATTGCTGAATTTTCCTCTTTCTCATTTATAGTGCTCGACTGTTTATCTGTTTCAGACTCCACATGAGAATCTTTCTTTGCTGCAGGAACTTCACTATCTCCATCTTTAGCCTTTACACTCTGGCTTTCTGATACATGTTTCTCATTAGCTTTATGAGACTCAATCTTGCCTGTTGGATTTTTATCACCATTTATAACAGATGAACTTTTTAATGGCGATTCCAAAAACACTGGTTTTTTCCCTATCCATACCATATTTGCCTTCATTGTTATCAGGAACCTATCATAATACTTGGGTGGTACCTGTTTGGCATACACATTACACTGGCGATATGTATCAATTACATTTAGAGATATGTGCTCAGGTAATAATTCTCCATCCACAAAGAGAACCGACTTATCAAAAATTAGGTAAGTAGCCTCCGCCTGATTACTTCCGCTTTGTATTATGCCATAGTATTCAGTTATCATTGTAATCCATCCAGACATATGGTAACCTAAATCTTCCTTCTCAAGTGCATAACTCCCAAAGTTATAGCTATCACTCATTTCAGCTTTGGAATCACTGGCTTCTGCCATTATTCTAAAAAGGTTCATAGTTATATAGTTTTGATACTGATACTGCCAAAGAGCAATTGCATAGTACTGAAGAGAGCCATGGTTATTGTCTGAAGAAACAGGGTATGCCAATACAGACCAAGAAAAAGATTCCAGTAATTGTTGCTTATCAAGAAGGCGACAGCTAGAGTGAAACTTGTATCCATACATATACAAAGTTCTCCTTTTGAAGGAAATTTTAACTGTTTGTGTAGGAGATATGTTGCTCTTTAAAACACCTGAAGCAAATGATAAACTTGTAATATTTCCTATGAAATGAGTAAATACTTTTATGTGAGAGGTGGCAGTTTCAACTAAATTTTCAGCTAATTTTCCATCATATTCTTTCTTGAGGTTTTCCAAGTTTTTTGGTGTATCTCCATACCAAACACAAACAGCAAACCAAACAACATTAATATGAAATATGACTTTTGGCTTTGCAAGAGGCACTACCCAAGCAGTTAAAGGAATTTTTCTAGCTTTAAAGAAATCAGATAGAGACATATGGCTTCTGAATTTTTCCCCATTAATATAAAAGTTTTTTTTGGTAAAGGCAATTATGTCTACAAAGCTCGTCATAAGTCCCTGTTGATGGTCGGCCAATAACAATGATCCTTTCATTATGCCCGCTTCTTGCTCAACTGGTATCAATGTAGAGTTTAAAGTAATTTCAGAGCTGCTGGCTTCATATCTGCCTTTTGCCACTGAAGGCAACTTCCCTCTCTCATTCATATTTTCTGTCTTTTCAATATCACAGAATCCTGGCAACTGCCTAACCTTTACCCATGGAACAACTCCTATATTATCCCACTGGTTCATGTGTATCAAATAGAACCTTCCCACTTGTCTTCTCACAGTTTCTGGTAATTCTCCCTGCCAGGCATATTTTGCCAGCCATGTGTCTGAGGTATAATGTTGTTTTGGCCAGGTAGGTAAATGAGGCTCTGGCCCTATAATTTTGGTGCTGCCACCTGCAAGTACTTTCAGTTTTGTAACATATGCATGGATAATGGGGACTAATTTATTAAATCCCTGTGCTATATCTCTTTTGTTAGCTCTTTCCCCATAAATATAAAAATCTTCTAAATTTACCATTACATTATTCCTTGTGTCTCCAAAAAGGATTTTATCCTCAAAACATCTAATCACCTTTCCTGTATAATAGCTAACAGGCATGTAAACAATATCATTCTGACACACACTCTCAATGAAGTCAGGCATAAATCCCACCCATGCATAAGCAGCTTGCCACATGACCTTCCCTGCAAGTTTGTATGGCCAAGAGTGTGGAACCTCATTTGGATACTGGCTTACATAAGAGTAAAATTCTGGTGCTTCGTCCCACTCACTAGCTGCTACCCTTCTTCCGAGGTAAGCAAGATCCTCCATAGTTGCTTGCCTTCCATGGAGGTACAAATTTTGCATGTTAACTATGGCAACATTCCTTTGGTCAGAGAAGAAAACCTTGTCTTCCCAAAATGCTCTCACTCTTCCTACATAATAATGCAAGTTTTTCTTTCGAGTGGAGAACATTAAGGGAGGGTATTGTAGAGCCGGTTCCATTTTCCTCACTGATAGACCAGTACAGGTCTCCTTTTATTCTTTCTTACTGCTATAATATATAATAGCTAATAATAATCATCTTTACTGATTTTTTCAGTAGTGCTTACACTGTGTGAGGTTCATTTTAATTCAACACCAAGCCCTGAAAATAAAACAAAAAATCTTATGTGGAAAAAATTATGACTAACACATTAAGTATGAATTAATCCTTTCAGGGTCCTTGCCGTAGATCTACGGCTTTACGTTCAGGGTCCAAACCGTAGATCTACGCCATGAGCTCAGCTCACTCTGAGAAGCTGTGAGCAGTAAATTTGGGCCTAGATGAGAGAATACATCTATGTGGTATGTGTGCACCACATAAAACAACTCCTGCAGCACAAAGTGCATAATGAGAGAAAAAAAACGAGACCATAATTTTCGATTAAAACCGACTTTGCAGTGTTTTTTCGTATGTTTTTGTATAGTTTTATTTGCAATTTCTTGGTCTCATTTGATAGAATGGAAGATATACAACAGAAATAGAGATGATTTCGATTGGTTTAAGTACTGGAAATGGCTTGAAACTGAGCTCAAAGTAGCAGAAATGTTAAATTTTTGCCGATGTTCAAGAGCAAACAAATGACCTCACAAGTCTAATACATGACAGCTGGTGGGTCTAATATACATTCACAAATGTGGTAATATTATTTATACAGTTATTACAGTATTGCATAACAGTAAATCTTCTATTTTTTGGTTTGAATAAAAATTCATTATGTGAATAAAAAATCAAAATGGAATTCATTTGTAAAGCCTGAAAACATAACTAATGAAGAGAGGAAATGTTAGTCTAGTGCTAGGAATGCCTGCATTGTCTAATCTGGACCCTATTTTGATTATTATTATAATCAAAAAGAAGCGCTAAGCCAAACCCTATTTTGAAATTGAAATATTTTGAAGTTTGCATTAAATTGGTCAAATTACCAATTTCCAGGCACTTTATTTTGTTGTTGAAACAGTTGACTTGGCGATTTCTTGTGCTCAATCACTAGAATAGAAGTAATACTAGTGAAATAGCTAAGAATTTGGTTGACTGGAATACTGTAATTGCCCTAAAATGGGAGTCAAAGTCGGCAAAATCGCCGATGCGTAAATATCGCCGACACATCAAAATTCACAAGAGCATAATTTCATCAATTTCCCATCAAATTTCGTACTTTTTGTTTTATTACCTTCAGAAAAAGATTCTCTACCATTTCATAAGAAAAAATAAAATTATTTTTTGAAAATTCTTGGACCCTGGTGTGCACTTTGAAATTTGGCCTCTGGACCCTGAAAGGGTTAAGAAATGATATAAAGTAATTGCAATCAGCAAGTCCTTGACTTACAAACATGCTGATGAACTTCTGTATTGTGTATATCATTGAATCATTATTGTGCATATTATTATATAATAAGAGTTTATATTATTATTTTACACAATACACAAGGTCCCCGTGTTCGTAAGTTGAAAATTTCCTGTATTATGAATATTATACACAATTCAGGAGGTCTCCAATGTTTGTAAGTTGAGGATGTAATGTATACAAAATACATTCTACAAAGCAATGTAATATGCCATAATACATTATACATACATAAGAATAAAAAATATTAAATGTTACACAATCTGTACATTGCCAAATCCACACTTCTGTTGTCTAAACAGTAGACTGCACAATAACATCTGAGATGCAACAGTATATGCCTTATTAAAATTTTAGTTTTCTTTTTTTAACATGTCAGCTGTTTCCCCACTGATGCAGGGTGACCCAAAAAGAAAAAAAACTTTCATCATCATTCAACACTTTCACCATCATTCATACATAATCATTGTCTTTGCAGTGGCACTCAGATACGACATTTTAGATGTCCCTTCAAACAGCCAATACCCCAAGCCCCTCCTTTAAAGTGCAGGCATTGTACTTCCCACCTCCAGGACTCTAGTCCGGCTAACCAATAATTTCACATTTCATAAAATAAAATACAGTATTTCCTTCATATGATTAAAAAAAAAAATTTGACTAGCACCCCATATGTAAACAGATGCTAAACCATGATAACCAATGTGTTGTGTTTAAAATTTCCAATTTCCTTATTTCTGGTTAAATATGTTTTTATAGGTTTATGTAACCTAGCTTATAAACTGCTACCCAGCTAACATGTAAATAGCCCTTTAACAAACTGTTCATTACCCTGCTGTCAGACAAACACTTTCAAGAAAAATACACCATTAAACAATAATGCTCGTTTAAAAACTGCTTGACCATAAGGCATAATTATTATTATTATAATATTCAGGGGAAATGCAAAGCCCTTAGGGGTTGTCCAACACCTAGGAATGGAAGTAAGGCTTAATCTAAGGAAGGGTAGCAAATTCAATTCCCTGTGGCCTGGTGGCTAAAGCTCTCGCTTCACACAGCAAGGGTCCGGGTTCGATTTCCGGTGATGGTAGAAACACTGGGTGCGTTTCTTTATACTGGCTTTGTTCTCCATCAGTAAAATGGGTACCAGAGTGTTAGTCGACTGGTGTGTCGCATCCTGGGACAAAATTTGCCCGAAATGCTCTGCATAACAAGCGGCTTTCTATATAGTATGTCACTGATGTCACCTAGGACTGTATATGTACCTTGTACATGTACTTGTAGAATAAAGATATTAAATATACGAGTGGGAGGTGCTGGGTTTGATTGGTGTCATGGGGTATGGGATTTATTTCTTGTGTAGCTTTAGGTAGAGGTCGTTTTGATAAGGACCTGTCTCATATGGGCCAGTAGGCCTTCTGCAGTGTTCCTACATTCTTATGTTCTTAAATTATGATTATTATTATTATAATCAAGGGGGAAGCGCTAAACCCGGAGGATTATACAGCGCCTGGGGGGGGATGTGGAAGGCATTCAGGCTTAATTCAGGGAACTGGAGCACAGATCCAATTCCCTAAATCAAGAGCCCCTCACCAACATCAAGGAACCTTCCTTGAGGGGATTAAATTATGAGCCCCCTCACCAGCATCGAGGAATCTCGAGAGGATTATTATTACATTAATGGGGAGCACTAAATCCTTACTGGATCATAAAGCACCCAAGAAATGGAAGAATTCAAGCTTAATTCAAGGACTTGAGCACAGATACAGTCAAATTTGCTAAGAATAAATTTCACTTGGTCTCCCCCCCTACATATGGTTTTACATCTCCAAACAATTGTTTTAGTCATACACATGTGGTAAATTATGTAAGTATAGCCTAGAAAAACCAAGAGATCAAAAAGTGAATTACCAATGGTTTTTATTAACATTACTTAACAATGACTTAAATAAGTTTATTCAGGTACAGGTACACAGCAATACAGTTGCATAAATTACCATACATAGCAGCACATGTGTAGATTACCTAGGATAACCCAAAAAAGTCAAGTGACATTTCCATTGGGGTCCTTGACAGCCATTTCACCCGTCATTCCTAGACACCTGTCCACTCGACTTACATTAACAATCGTTAACTCTGGCGTACCCTGACTACCCAAATTACTAACTAATCTACGTATGACTAAATGACATACATTACAAAATTCCTGTTATTGTTATTATCAGGTCAGCTCGCCATGTGGACAAATTCAAATTTTCTTTTCTGGTATTCCACCCTCCTTCTCTAAGACGCATTAACATTTACCTCGATTGCTGTCAAAACGAAGAAAACACTTGCATATAGATATAATATTGACAAAACATAAGTACCTGGCTGGCAGAATTGTACAAAAATGGCAGGGAAAGTCCATGCATATATCTTCACCAGCAGTAGCAGGAAGACTGGGCGCTTGTCTCCTCTCTCCCAGCCTCATGCTTTGTCATTAAGTAACTTACATTTGAATTCTAAATCATATTATTTTCCGGGAACATATCTTTCTGTTTTGAAGATATTTTTATACTATTTATTCCTTACAGGATAAAGCTCATAGTTACAAGGATTCCAATTAAAATAAGTCAATTAGATGTATTTCTTTTCTGCAATGTACAAAATGCAGTTTATATTAAATTATTAAGTACAAAGGAACGCCCCAGCATGCAGTGCATTTTGGGCAGCATCTAGGTAATTTACACTATGTGTGATAATTGTGCTTATGTGTAACTTTGTTTAAATAAACTTAATGGAAATAAGTCACTGGGTTATCCCAGGTTCTCTACATATATGCTGCTCTGTATGATAATCTATATAATTGTATTTGTGTATACCTGAATAATGTATTGTAGATGAATGGTGTCTAATTTATCTTCATACCTGAATAAACTTACTTACACTATGTACTTAAGTGTACCTGTACCTAAATGAACTTAATTAAAAGTGCAAATTTCAGTTGAGTGATTATTATTGCTATAATTTAGGAGGAAGCGTTAAACCCATAGGGATCACACAGCACTTGAGGAATGAGAGGTAATTAGGTTCGATCTAAGGAAGAGAAGAATAGGTCTAATTTCTGGAATCAAAAGCCTCTCAGCAACATCGAGGAACCTGCTTTAATGACAGTAATATTCATTTTAACTCAGCAGCAAGGAAAGCTGCTCACAAGGGATCACAACTTGAAGTTGAAAACTCAGATGAGCCACAGGGATGTTAGGAAGTATTTCTTCAGTCACGGAGTTGCCAGGAAGTGGAACAATCTGCAGAGTGATGTAGTGGAGGCAGGATCCATACACAGCTTTAAGAAGACATACGATAAAGCTCATGGAACAAGGAGAGTGGACCTAGTAGCGACGAGCGAAGAGGCGGGACCAGGAGCTGTGAATCGACCCCTGCAACCACAAATAGCTAAGTAAATTATGATGAATTATGTAGTAACCATCACGGAGACGAGATACTGAGGAAGAGGTTGCAGGGATTGATTATTATTATGTCATGGGGGAGCGCTAAACCCGTAGGATTATACAGAGCATGTGGGGGGATAGAAGGTATTCAGGCTCAATTCAGGGAACCGGAGCACAAATCCAATTCCCTAGATCAAGAGCCCCTCACCAGCGTTAAGGAACCTCCCTTGAGGGGTGCAGGGATTGAGTCATAGCCCCTGGCCACACACACACACACACATATATACATACATACATACATACATACATATATATATATATATATATTATATATATATATATATATAATATATATATATATATATATATATATATATAATATTATATATTAAAAATATATATATAAAATTAATATTATTTGGTGTGTGTGTGTGTGTGTATACTTCTAGACTTGTATTCTGAGCACCTCTGCAAAAAACAGTGATAATGTGCGAGTGTGGTGAAAGTGTTGAATGATGATGAAAGTATTTTCTTTTTGGGGATTTTCTTTCTTTTTTGGGTCACCCTGCCTCGGTGGGAGACGGCCGACTTGTTGAAAAAAAAAAATATATATATGTATATATATATACTATATTATATATGTAATAAAATATATATATATATATATATATATATAAAATATATAATATATATATATATATATATATAAATATATAATTACTAGGGATCCCAGGGCAGCTAGTTTTCTGTTCCAGCGGCTCAGTGCGGCTGTTCAAAGGGGTAATGCATGCTGCATTTTGGGCACACGCCCCAGCTCTGAGGAGCTGGATGAGATTTTCGCCTTATAATCGGTGATACACACGTAACAACATGTACCGTATATGCCACCTATATATATATATATATATATATATATATATATATATATAATATATATATATATATATATATATATATATATATATATATATATGTCGTGCCGAATATGTAAAACTGGTTAATTAGCAAGAACTCATTTAAAATTAAATCCTTTCTAAAAATGTCTCTTACACGTTTAAAGATATATTTTTTTCATTAATGTTGGTGTAAAAAATTTTAATTTTGCAACAAAAGAATCTTAGAAAACTTACCTAACCTTATTATAACAAGAACAATTTATTATAGCCTAACCCAACTAAATATATTTTAGATATGTTTACAATAATTTAATACTAAACAAACATAGTGAAATATATTTTTTTCGTTAGGTTCAGAATGATTTTGGCGAAATTATTGCATACACAAATTTTCACTTGTCCTATATGGCAAGATGAGCGTTGCTATTTAAGCCAAGATCGCAAATTCTGCCTATTCGGCACGACATATATATACATGTATATATATATGTCGTGCTGAATAGGCAGAACTTGCGATCTTGGCTTAAATAGCAACGCTCATTTTGCCATATAGGACAAGTGAAAATTTGTGTATGCAATAATTTCGCCCAAATCATTCTGAACCCAACGAAAAAAATACAATGGGTTGTGTTTGTTTAGTACTAAATTATTGTTAACATATTTAAAATATATTTAGGTGGGTTAGGCTAAAATAAATTGCTCTTGTTACAATAAGGTTAGGTAAGTTTTCTAAGATTCTTTTGGTGCAAAATTAATTTTTTTTACATTAACATTAATGAAAAAAATATATCTTTAAACGTATAAGAGAAAATTTCAGAAAGGACTTAATTTTAAATGAGTTTTTGCTAATTGACCAATTTTACATATTCGGCCCATATATATATATAACATGTATATATATATATATATATATATATATATATATATATATATATATATAATATATATTATATTATATATATATATATTATAATATATATATATATATATATATATATATATATATATATATATATATATATATATATATATTATATATATATATATTATATATATATATTCCCTGGAACGCAGGAGGGAGAGATACATGATTATATACACCTGGAAAATCCTAGAGGGACTAGTACCGAACTTGCACACGAAAATCACCCACTACGAAAGCAAAAGACTTGGCAGACGATGCACCATCCCCCCAATGAAAAGCAGGGGTGTCACTAGCACGTTAAGAGACCATACAATAAGTGTCAGGGGCCCGAGACTGTTCAACTGCCTCCCAGCACACATAAGGGGGATTACCAAAACAGACCCCTGGCAGTCTTCAAGCTGGCATGGACAAGCACCTAAAGTCAGTTCCGGATCAGCCGGGCTGTGGCTCGTATGTTGGTTTGCGTGCAGCCAGCAGCAACAGCCTGGTTGATCAGGCTCTGATCCACCAGGAGGCCTGGTCTCAGACCGGGCCGCGGGGGCGTTGACCCCCGGAACTCTCTCCAGGTAAACTCCAGGTATTACATTATATATATTATATATATATATATATATATAAATATATATATATATTATATATATACTATATATATATATATATATATATATATAATATATATATAATTTATATATTAATATATATATATATAAACATCTTATTCCACAGTAGGATTCGAGCTACACTTCATCAAAGTACGTTGTACTTACGCCACTGCGTATTTTGATGCACTGGAGGAATCCTGCTATGGACTGAGTGTGTGTGACTTAATTAATGTTTGCATAAATAACTCACTACGATTGTGACCAAATATAAACATGTAAATAGTTAATTACCTTTGTAACTTGTTCAGTTATCAAAACTTTGTAGCCCAGTCCCTGGACCCATTATGTACCTCGGTAATCATTTGACTATCACCCACAGGATGAGTATGGGGTGCATAATAAAGATGTTGAACTTAATTGAGAGATAATGTTTGTAAATAATTTCGCCCGTTTGCGAACTGCTAAGCATATATATAAGTAGGCAAGCTCTCTCCACCTCGGCATGGGTGGAAACTTGGAGCATGTTTCCTTACACCTGCTGTCTTTTTTCACCCAGCTGTCAGTAGCACCTGGATATTAGTCAGCTGGTGTGGGTCACATCCTGAGGGACAAAACAAGACACAGACAGTCCTAGATGACGCACTTACTTTCTTGGGTTATCCTGGGTGGCTAACCCTTCGGGTTAAAAATCCCCCCCCCAATTTTTTTTATCACAGCCAGACGTGAGCGCGCCTCTGAGTCATCGTCCTACATGTTAATCAAACCTTTGACAATATAGACAACCACATTGCTAAGAGTGATACCAAGATTGCATACCTTTCTTCCAACACCATTAAGGATTTCATTGCTACTAAAAGCAGGCAACACTATTTCAAGTGAGTCATGTGACAAAATTTATGTTGGAGAAACCTCAAGTAGTAGCACACAAGAATCTATGAACACCACTAGACCCCAATGGAAATGTCTCTTTTTCTGACTTTTTTGGGTAATCCCAGGTTCTCTACACATATGCGGCTATATATGATAATCTATGTAACTATTTGTATACCTGAATACACTTACTTTTTTTTCATGGACTTCCTGAATGCTGAACTAGTCATCAGGGACTCCGACTGTCGCAACAGGCGGTGTTTAGAATAGTCAATCATTGCTACCAGTAATACTATCACTAAGAATAAAGGTATACAGGAAACAGGACAAGTGTTTCCTGACGCAGGTCTTAAGTCATATGATGACCCACAACTGGAGCTTTTGGTCAACTGACCGAGACCTTCCACCTGCTTTCCGATCTACCCCTCTAAAAATTCAAAATACAGCACAACGTATTTATTATATCATAGGTGAGCGCTAAACCCGTATGATTATACAGCGTACGTGGGGGGGGGAATGGAAGGTATTCAGGTTCAATTCAGGGAACTGGAGCACAGATCCAATTCCCTAGATCAAGAGCCCCTCACCAGCATCAAGGAACCTCCCTGGAGGAGACAACGTATTTAAACACAGCAGAACACACATCACTTAACCCCGCCCATCTCTTTTCTCTCCTCCGCCACAATATAAATTACTGTCTCTTGCTCTCTAATACTTGATAGAAGAAACCTTTGGTGGGTTATACGTATCCTCAACAAATGTCTTGATAATCACATTCGTGCGTTTTTTACTTGCCACAAATGACTGCTTCTCGGTATGCTGTCACACAGTAAGACAAATAATATCTACATCCTGACAATCCTCGTCCATCTTTGTCTCGTCCTGCATAAAACCTTAAACGTATGATAATTGTACTTATATGTACCTGTTCCTAAATAAACTTGCTACTAGGTACCTCTGTGATGTAAGGAGGGATGAGGGAGAACTTCATGGGTTGCCAGTCAGGTGATCCCAAGTTCCTCTCAAACTGGACATTATGATTCATACACAAATAACCCGCACATAAAAGACAGAAGCTTACGACGACGTTTCGGTCCGACTTGACCATTGACAAAGTCACTTTGTCAATGGTCCCAGTCGGACCGAAACGTCGTCGTAAGCTTCTGTCTTTTATGTGCGGGTTATTTGTGTATCGTTCCAGTCACGGTATTGTGCCTTTTTGTTATTTAATTATGATTCATATCCACATTGTTACGAGATGCTCTACATACATGATCCCCTTCCCTGGATCGAACATGAATGCCTCCCATTTCCCAGGTACTTTATGGCCCCTATCGGTTTAGTGTTATCCATAATAATAATAACAATAATAATAATAATAGTAATGCTTTACATACTTAACAGTATATATTTACATTCCTTGGTTTTCTCTACTGTTAGTGCCGGGTAAATTGCTATTCAGTCAATTAAAAAAAAATGAATTTATTCTTTACTGGAATTACGTGATACACGATGGGATAATTATATATATGAAAACTTTTCGCTCTAAATAATAATAAGATTTCTCTACTTTCATGGTGTCAGTGGGAGGCCAGAGTGCCCAGGGAGCGCTGGGTACTTCTAGTTTAGTTCCAAAGTGCAAAAATGTTGGCAGAGTTGTTGACATTGTGACGGTAGCCACACGTGATCAACACCAAGGTGAGCTCACACTTATTTATGCATTGACATTGATGGGGATAACCTTGAACATCATGTAGGAAAACAACTGTGAGCATGTTTGTTCTCGTGCAGGTGAAGGAGTCTTGATGCAAGGAAAATGGTGCTTCCCGCCTCTTCCTTAGGTCACACCTGATTACCTTCCATTTCCTGGGCGCTATATGACCTCAACGGGTTTGAAATATAAAAATTTAAGCCAAATTGGTTCATAAATGTTAGTTAAATTGTTTTACCTTATTAAGTTATCGTGTTTTAAATGTGCTTTGTGTACTCTTGTGTATGTATGTAATCTGTACCCTCAAAACCATTGTGAAAATTTAAATTATTTTGTAGTCATTTGTCCCCTCAAGGAAGGTTCCTTGATGCTTGTGAGGGGCTCTTGATCTAGGGAATTGGATTTGTGCTCCAGTTCCCCGTATTAAGCCTGAATACCTTCCACATCCCCCACACAGGCGCTGTATAATCCTACGGGTTTAGTGCTTCCCCCTTGAATATAATAATAATAATGTAGTCATTTGTAGATTGTGCTAAATAAAAACTTAGCTGTATTTGAATTAAGTAGTGTATAGAGGTATAACAGGATATATAATTGTGTAGAATGAAAAATTACGATGCCGAATATACTAGATACATACAAAGTTTACATTTTATGATGACAACTTAGGATATCATTACAGTTATTCAATGGATTTAATTCCATTGGGGCTACAGTTCTTTTAGCTCATTCAGACATGCATTATTTTAAGCAAAATATGGCACGTACATTTAATTTATATACATTTAAGCCCAGTTTGCATTTCGTACATTACATATTGCTTTTTGTGTTGCAGCATTATTAGTAATACGAAAAAAAAATACTTGCCTCTTCTATTAGGCTGCAGATACCTTTAATTTTGTATTTTCATGCTGTATATGGCCATTACTTGTCATCATAAACTAGGAGAGCAGAAAAAGACTGAGAAAGAAAATAATTAGAAATAGCATTATTATAATCGGGAAAGAGCCATACCTTTAGGGGTCATACAATGCCTTGGAAATAGGAAACAATCAACAATGCCTTGGAAATAGGAAACAATCAGCTTTGATCCGAGGAAGATAGGTTAATTCCTTGGATTTAGAGCCATTCTCCACAGCATCGAGGCACCCCTGAGGTTACCCTTAAAGGTAAGGGTTAGGAAACTCCTGAATGTTTATGCTTTTCAATGAAGGCAATGGCATTCTAACTGATATTAGTATTGGGGTTGATCGTAAACTGACGCAATCTTGTCGATGTCCAAATTTAGTTGTATCGAACTGTATCTGTATGCCTCGTTGAACACGCGGAACCAGGGAAAGTATATTATATCTATACAAACAGCGAAACAGGAGAGTGTTATAAAATATCCTTGATTGTGGGTGTCTTGGTGCTTGTGAAGGGCACCTGATCCAAGGAATTGGAATTATTTTTCCTTTCTATGATTTAACTTGATATTTTCCTTCCCTCAAGCGCTTATAACATGGATTGAACACTTCCCATGATTAATAATAATTATAATAATACAGAAAAGCTTTTTTTAATTTCTAACATTGATTTCTACATGGTAAAAACTACCTGCTGAAGCAGAATTGCTGTATTCACAAAATATCACTAAACCTGTATGGGTCATTCAGCGCTGGCAAAGGTAGCTTTTAGTTTTTTCAGAATAACACTTTTTGTTTCAACTTTGAAGTACTTTCAATAGAAATGGAAAAGACTTCATGACAAGATTCCTGAAAACCAAAATAATAGTAGCCACAAAATGTGTTGTGATGAATGTCAGCTCATGAACGCCTCGCGGATGGTTCTACTTGGTTCTCAGCTCTCATGAACGCCTCGCGTATGGTTCTACTTGGTTCTCTACTCTCAGAGAGCATACAGTGTGCTAATTTAGTTTTGTTTGCAGAGGTAGTCGTATCTTCTGCCCCGAATTCTAAACTCTTATATACCGGTTTTACAAATTCTTGGCTTCTAGAGCCCGATTGTATCTACGTTTGAAAATGCGTTTTGTGTTTGCTTCCACCACCTCTTGTACCCGAGGTCGATTTAGGGGAGCATCGTCTCGGCGGCTCGGCCCCAGACCAGGATTCCGAGTTGTTGGCCCGATCGACCAGGCTGTTGGGGTCAGCCTTACCAATACCTGGAGAATGCCTTCTCTGAAGGACTTCCAACCTTCAACGTTGGTGTAGCCTAACGAAAAAAAAAATGACTGATTTTTGGGCTGTATAGTGTCACTTTTATTGAAGAAACTGGGAAAATTATTACTCTAATGAATCGGGATGAGTTTATATATTTATAAAAAATAATTAATAGAAAATTTGAGATACATGATTGTAGTGGTTTATTTGAAGACTCTAAGGCGGTTAACGGCGTAAATAGTTTTCTAAGATTAAAAACTGGTCGAATATTAAGTGTCAGCTTCTCATCTTTTATAAAGTATGTCCAATATTAGGGTTAGCTTAAGTAAATGTAATTAAGCACCGGCCAGTATATTATTGGGTTTTCTCAAGTCTTCCAGCAAAAGGCGTCTAACATTCTTATATTGCCTGAAAAATATATTTATAAGGGATAGATATTTCTGGTAGTTAGGTATTACAAGTATAACTCCAAAATTGTCACCCAAAAAATCAGAGACTTCATAAATGTTGCAAATGAAAAAAAATTGGTCGTGATTCAAATGATAAGAAAAACAAAATTAACGTTTCTAATGGTATGCATAGCTTAAATAAAATTAAATAAATTATGAATATTTGCTTTCTGCCTAACTCAACCAGAAGATGAAAGAGCACTCGGATTGTGCTTAGTCAAGAGACGGGGTTATATAAGGGCCTGACTTTTTCTTTAGAAATGTTCCCTGGAAGTGTGATCCCGTCATTTAGTCGGAGTGAGAAACAATGATCCTCTTTTTACATGGCGCGTCGTTAGGGAATGTCATTGTAACTTTCGAGCTTAGTGGGTTCCATAAATAGACTGTAATTATCTGATTACATTTTGCTGAACGAACTCGCGATTAAAAAACTTTCTGAGAAAGATTCATTTTGCATAATACAGTTGGTTTCATTACACCAATATTACTGTCCAAAACAAACTAAATATGAAAATTACTATAATCATAAAATAAATTTATAGTACTAAGGATCTTGGATGTATATTACAATTGCAAAAAAAAGTAAGTTCTTACATATATAATAGATAATAATTATTTTAAAATTAACATGTTCACCAATTCTTGCCGTGCTTAATTTTTTTTTGTGTGTGAATGAAGTTAGGTGCTTTTAGCCAAGGTGAAGTATACGCCAAGACTCCCACGCTTTTCAGAGGAACCCAGGCGTAGTAGTAGTAAGAAGAGAAGGCATGTTGACGTTTAAGCTCTTCTCTTTGTCTCCAGCATCATCATCCAAGCACGTGTTTTCCGTAGCATTTAATGGGTAATCATTAAATTAAGAATCGTTTTATTCATTTTATATAGAGTACAAAAGCGAAGAAGTAGTGAATTGTGGAAAACAGTGTGATTCTTAACAGTAGAGTCTTTGATTCAAGGGAGCCCAACTTACGCGCCCTCCATAGCCAAATCAATAAAGATGGCGGGATTTTCACTGGCGCCACATACTCGCTCATTGTTGGCAGTAGAATTACTGACAGTGTTCTCTCTCTATCTTCTTTTTTTAATTCATAAAATTTAAAGTGAATTCCAATATCACGTGTAAGTATTTTGAATGGCAGCACGACTTACAAAAGAATATAAACTGCAAATTTTGGAGATAATGCTAGATGTGGCACATTGATTCCAAACTCGCGCATGAGCTTTGGAAAAGGAATCGCGATGCCATTCCAACTTGTGGATGCCTCAGTGGTCTGGCAACAGTGGTATGGAGTGCTGTGTTGGAATAGAGGCTGGACACTCATGACTTCAACATAAATACACCTCAATGTTTTGAGAGTTTCCTGTGAAATTACATTGTTTAATTACTTTCCTGGTACAACAGATGATTACTAACAACATTTTGGTAAATAATAGTATTTCTAAAGTATATTTTTTAGTGTTTAAGGCGTAAGAAAGTGGAAATATATTTCACAGGAAACGTGGGTGCTGGACTCGGGAACAGGTGGGGCGTCAAGAAGTTTTAATTCTCTCGACTCAACCAACAAAGTTAGAGGTAAGTCTTATGCAAAACTTGCCTCAATTTGCCTTTAATATTGTGTAATTGTATTGCGCATATTACCATTCTGAGTATGTATGTATGTATTTGGCTGCATGTGCATTTTGGCATATGTGCATGTTTATATTATTTCTGCGCAATTTTTAAAGTGGTTTTGTTTCTGATCTTTGTAAGTTTATTAGGCTGTATAAATGTACTCGTCTATAATTTACACATTATATATATATATATATATATATATATATATATATATATATATATATATATAATATATATATATATATATATATATAATTATATATATATATATATAATATATATATATAATATATATATATATATATATATATATATATATATATATATATATATATATATAATGATAATAATATATATATAATATAATATAAAATATATATATATATATATATATATATATATATATATATATATAATATATATATATATATATATATATAATATATTTATTTATTTATTTATTTACAGTTTAAGATCGCCTGCGTTCTGACGTGATTTAGGAGTCATATATGTGCTTTAATCCTATATATGTAGTGAACTTCAACGGTGGCTCTTCCTAACTCGTGCTACACTAGCCTTGCATTGTAAATGTGCTTCTTAACATGTCTTACCTCATCTGGCTGTTCAGCTTCCATCGCCGTCCTTTCCCCTGGTTTCTCTCTCTTATGTCAAACAGGTTAACTTACTCGGAATATTTTGTCAGTAACAGTGTATGGTATTTAAAAGGTTTTACAGTGCAGCATTTCTTCACAGTTTTTGCTCCTCAGTTGTGATACAAGCCTGATGGTGAACCTCTGAACCTTAGCCAGCTGTTTAAAATGTTTTTGGGATGGAAGCTTAACGACGAGAATAATATACCCCTTTTTTTTTAGCATGAGTGTAAACAATTTTCAGTTATTCCTAATTTAAGTTTCTTAAGGCAGTTGTGGAAAATTGCATTTACTTGGATGTATAATTATATACATAACAGTAAATGAACTATGATAACTTATTTATCAGTTAGACAAGTAGGAATTTGGGACACTTAGGTCGCAAAAAATGTCCCCCTTCGATACCTACCACTGTCATATCCACAAGTTGCTCTGGACCTATTAATTAAATGAAATATACATACACCAGGAATACTGGTAAATATATAAATTTGTGGACTGTATATTAAAAATAATAAATGGTTATATATATACACAATTACATAACAAAAGGGAAAATATATACTTAATATCCCCTCACCAATTTGACTGGAGATTAATGTGTATCATACTCAGAAAACCTCACTCTAACTAAATCTATGAAAATAATGCTGGCCAGAATTACACACAAATCTAGAGAGCTTATCTGAGGTTCCTGGAGCTGTCTTGACCAGTCGTTTGATATCTCAAGTTATGCAGGAATGCACATCCACCAATTTCGCCTCCTATTTGAGAGGTGTCAACACAATTTTAACCTCTAGAGCACGAAAAATTCTTCCCATTACACCAACGTTTGTACAAAATTCAAAACCAAGATGGCGAGTCTCGTCTGCCCAGACGCAGGCTTTCCGTTTTCTATAACATAAATATTATTAAATACAGTATGGTCATCTATTTACATATAAATACTGAATTTCTGGAAAATATATACAGTATTTTCCACAGCAGTTGTTGTGTTCATAACCTTCAAGGAAGTGCACGAGGCAGGTGGAAAGGTTTTGATCCAAGAAATTGAAGCTACTTTTCACCCCTCCTTGGATCAGACATGATTACCGCCTATTTCTAGTGTGATTCCTAGTTGTTTAGCTATTCCCCATAACAATAATAATTATTATGTTCACTAAGATGGAACATGTCGCTGAAGTTATTCTATTGATGTGTCCTTCGTGGGACAGGTTTGTTGTGATAGCTACTTCAACATTCTTTTCTTGGATTAACACTTCAGTTATGTCTATCCCAGGTGGTGCGTTGTCTTTGCTCTCCAGCTCCATGCCTCAGTACGGTACTTCATATTTACTGGGGTTGAACTCGAGTAGCATCATGGGTGCGCTCTCTCCTCTCTCTCTCTCTCTCTCTCTCTCTCTCTCTCTCTCTCTTCTCTCTCTCTCTCTCTCTCTCTCTTTCCCCTCCCCTCCCCTGATCGAAACTGAAAAAAGGACAAAGATGCGCGGCGATTTGATAGTGTGAAGGAATGTAAATTTTGTATGATGTGAGGTGGAGATATGTAAGGAAAGAAGAAAATGCAGAATGTGGAAGGAAGAAAAGGAGAAGAGAGAGGAGGAAGAGAAAAGGGAAGAAAGAAGAGGGAAAGGGAAACGGGGAATATGAAAAATAAAAGTTATTTAGTGGATGGCAAACAAATAAAGAGGAACATATGAGTGAGGGTAAAGCGAGTGGTAGCCATTGCCAAATAGGAAGGGTAGATTGCACGGCTGCCAGCTGAATTGTTGCTACGGCTACCACTAGCTGAATTGTTGTCACAGCCACCAGCTGAATTGTCTGTCGGGTCGAATGTCGAGGCTGCGACCAAATGATCATCGTATCTGTAACTCCAGGACCATTGCATTTCTGATTCCTTTGTAAATTTGTCAAATGGAAAGTTTTTAAGTGATAGTTATACTTTATAATTCTCAATCGATGAACCTTGATACCAGTGAAGGACTTGTTATAAGCAATTAGAGTTTATCCTACCATTCCTTGAATCAAACTTATCTGAATCCCTAGACGCTGTATGGCCTTTACGGGTTTAGCGTCTTCCTATAACCATGACACTACCCAGGTTAGGGGAGAGTTGCATGCTGATAAGATAACTTGTGGAAACTCGAATGTTAATGATGAAATATTAACCAGTAATCAAAGTCCGAATAAGCCGACTGATATTGAGGGTTTACCGTTATGCGACTAATGATAAGAGAAATATTACATATATGCATGGAATGTGTACGAGGCTGTCAGTGCTGTTTCACATCCAGTACGGGCAAAATAGTAACTCGTGTCGCGATGTCAATTGCTAAACCTCAATACGAAAACCTTGTTGTGTGATGGCTGTACTGTAGATGAAGATTGAGACACTTATGCAACATTGGGAATCTTTATTCAGGAAACGTTTCGCCACACAGTGGCTTCATCAGTCCAATACAAAGTAGAAATGCGTAAGGAGAGGAGGAGTTTGAGGTAATCAGTCCCTCAGCCTGGAGTCGATGTGTTCAGTCCATCAATCTTGTAGAATGTACAGCATAGGGCCGTAGACGTGGCTTATATACTGTAGAGAGGTCAGGCGAAGCAGGAGGAGGTGGGGTCATAGTGGATGGTACCACTATGACCCCACCATTCATCACAGCTGTCAGACTGCAGCATCATGGGATCTTGTTACAAAGAATTCTTCAACACTTGTCCAACCTTTGGACGAAGACCTACTTCGACTAGTGGATGGTACCACTATGACCCCACCTCCTGCTTCGCCTCACCTCTCTACAGTATATAAGCCACGTCTACGGCCCTATGCTGTACATTCTACAAGATTGATGGACTGAACACATCGACTCCAGGCTGAGGGACAGATTACCTCAAACTCCTCCTCTCCTTACGCATTTCTACTTTGTATTGGAATGATGAAGCCACTGTGTGGCGAAACGTTTCCTGAATAAAGATTCCCATATTTTGCATAAGTGTCTCAATCTTCAACTTGTCGGTTTTTCAAACCATTCATCACAACTGTACTGTAGATACTGTTCTGCTCAGCCTTCTTACCTAACCTTACAGTACCAAACCTTAAGTAATTTAACCTAGCCTAACCTAACAAAATAAAATTATGAAAATAGTTTTTGCAAGTTTATAGGGAGCTTTAAGAAATTGACTTTGGGAATTAAGTAAGAAATTTGATGTAAACTGAGGATTGGTTCTATAGTTATCGTTCTTTGTAAAATGTTATATAAACTAGTACAGTTGTATAGTGCTGTGTATCTAATTTTGATAAAAAATAATAGTACGCGGGTCAAGCAATCTTAGTTTGCACCCGCTTCTTCGATTCCTGATAAATTTGGCTTAGCTGTTAAGGCAATTCAATTTGGTCTCCGAGGACGCATCGTCCCGTCATCATCCACACTTTCCACTACGTCAGCAAGTAGTGTCCATTTAGTGAGAATTGAGGAGCCGATCATAACCACCATCTGCGTGTTTATGTTATTACCCTTCGAGAGTGCTTCATAAGATATAAATGGTCGTCCAGTCTTATATGGGCTGTGAAGAAGTAGATTTTATGACCTTCAGGATCATATAAAAAGTAACTCCCTGTCATGACGGCCATTCTGAATTAGCTAAATCATTGAAATGAAAGAACACGTGAATGAATCTAAGAGACGCTAATTTTTAACTAAGATTCCCTTCAAGGGATGAAGGGCTCGTGATCCAAAAAGCGAAAGTATATGTAAAACGAAAGTAAATGCATCAAGCAGGATTGGAACCCAATCGGCATATACTTTCGTTCGTTTCTACAAGGGGCATCGAGTATAAATAGTGTGGAAAATACTGTATATATTTTCCGGAAATACGGTAATTTATAGGTAAATAGATGCCCTATATTGTATTTTTAAAAGAAGTATGTTATCGAAAATGGGAAACCTGCGGCTGGGGGGGGGGAGTCGCCATTTTGTTTGAATTTGGATTAGAAACGTTGGTGTAATGGGAAGAATTTTTCGTGCTCTAGAGGTTAAAATTGGGCTGACACCTCTCAAATAGGAGACGAAATTGTTGGATGTGCATTCCTGCATAATTTGAGAATCAGGCGACAGGACAGGACAACTCCAGGAACCTCAGATAAGCTGTCTAAATTATGTTTAATTTCTGGCCAGTAAATTCTTCATAAATGTAGGCAAAAGTTGGGGTGGTCCTGTACATGACACATTAATCTCCAGTCAAATTGGTGAGTGATATTAAGATATATTTTCCTTCTGTTATGTAATTGTGTATATATATAACCATTTATTATTT